GGCAGTGAGATTGACGCAGCCTTCCATATGAATCCTTGTCATGGAGTTTAATGACTTATCCAAGCCTGGAACCTCAGTGAGTTTGACCGAATCACGTAGATACAATTCTCTCATATTCCACATTTTTGAAAAATCTGGAATTGTTTCCAATTCTGGGCAGTCATTTGCTTTCAGAACATACAAATTGATTGGTAAATCTGGGATTGCACGAAGTTCTGTGCATGCATTTAAACACAAGACCTTGAGCTTTGAAAGACCAGCGAGACTTGGTAGGCTAGAAAAGTCATTGTCTCCAAGAAGCAGATGTTCTAAGGAAATTAGGCTACATAGATCCTTAGGGATTGCATCCTCAGTTAACCAGCAGCCTGCAAGACATAATAACTCTATTAAAGAGTTTAAGCCATGTAACGAAAGGGGTAAAAGATGGAATTTCAAAATTCTCACCATATAGAGATAAAATTCTCAACTTCTTCAATTTTACTATGGAAGATGGAATTTGTCTGATGAGCGTGTCATCTGCTTCCAAAATTGTCAATGATGCCATGTCCCCTAAACCATCAGTCAAGTCTTCAAACCATGAACAACCATTCAGTATAAGAGTTTCAATAGACTTGGATTTATAGAAATTCAGTGGGAGTTCACATAGCACTATGCAGCCTTCAAGATTTACCAAAGAAAGTCTTCCAAGATCCCCGATGGATGAGTGAACCTTAAACAAGTTGTCACAACCTTTCAATATCAACTTTTCGAGATTTGGGAATTTTGAAAAGTCTGGTGATTTTGTCATGTCATGATCATCTTCAACATGAATGATGTCATCATCATTGACCAGATTTTGAGATGGGCGTCGTTCATACGCACAAAGATGGTAATCAATCATATTTTCGTTCATAAATTTGTCCCATACCAGACTAACACCTGTTTTCTTCACCTCCACCCATTTGTCTATTATTATTTCAATCAAGACTTTATCGCCATCTTGCAATTTGAGCTCGTCATTTGATAACTGTCCCTGCCAAAGATAGAGCCAAATTTCTATAAGAAATACATTCTTATTGCATGTGATAGAAAGAGAAAGATGTATGTGTGTGTGTGTGTGTGTGTGTGTGTGTGTGTGTGTGTGTGTGTGTGTGTGTGTGTGTGTGTGTGTGTGTGTGTGTGTTGATAGAAAGAGAAAGATGTATGTGTGTGTGTGTGTGTGTGTGTGTGTGTGACCTGTAGGATGTTCTTCCTAAAATCGGCAGTGAGATTAGTGCACTTTTCCATATGAATCCTTGTCATGAAGTTTAATGACTTGTACAGGCCTGGAACCTCAGTGAGTTTGACAGAATCACGTACATACAGGCCTGGAATCTCAGTGAGTTTGCATGAATCACTTAGATACAATTCTCTTATATTTGACATCTCTGAAAAATCTGGCATTTTTTCCAATGCAATGCAGCCAGACGCTTTTAAGACTTTCAAAAATCTGGTTGGTAAATCTGGGATTGCACGAAGATTTATGCAGTTATGTAAAGACAAATCTTGAAGCTGTGAAAGACGACTGAGGCTTGGTAGGCTGCAAAAGTCATTGCGTGCAAGAGCTAATTCTCTTAAAGAGCTTAAACTATGCAATGAAGGAGGCAAAAGATTTGTTGATGGCGACCCTTTCACATAACATAAAGATAAAGCTTTCAGTTTCTTCAATTTTAATATGGAAGATGGTATTTGTCTTATGGCTGTCACATCTGCTTTCAGAGTTGTCAATGATACCATGTCCCCTAAGCCCTCAGCCAACTTTCCAAAACTTGAACAACCATTAAGTATAAGAGTTTTAATAGACTTGGATTTATAGAAATTCAGTGGGAGATCCTTTAGCATTCGGCAGCTTTTAAGATCTACCAAAGAAAGTCTTCCAAGATCCCCAATGGAAGAGTGAACCTCAGACAAACTCTCACAGTCTTCCAATATCAATTCCTTGAGATTTGGGAGTTTTGAAAAGTCTGGTGATTTTGTTAGCTGATAGGAATGACTGAGATTAAGGATTTTCAAATTCTGATGCAACTGTTACACAAAAACAAAATTAGAATGGAAATTAAACCAAAATGAAGAGAAGGTGAAGTATAATATATGTATAGAACCAGAAGGAAAGAACCAACAACAACTAGTTTTGGTTGAGATTATTATACCTTGCAATCCTTCCAAACTATTTTGAGTTTGCTCCACTGCAGGTCTAAAGCAACTAGATTTGGTTGCACAGGAAAGTCATCTGGTATGGACTCTAAAGGAAAATAACGCCAGCACAACCATATTAAACTTTTGGGAAAATCTTTGTACTCTCCAGTGAGCTTTACGTCGATGAGGTGGAGTAACCTCAGTTTTGTCATCTTGGTAAATGCTTGTGCACTGAATCTGTTCAAATCTAGATATGAATCTAGATCCGAATCTACATCTGACTCTAGATCCGAATCTACATCCAAATCCAAATGTAGAGCAACTCCTTCAATTTTTTCAGTTCCCTGTTAACAAAAGATACTGAGTTAGAAAAATGATTTACAAACATGAAAATCCGTGTATGTATTAACCAAAAAGTAATTAATAGTATTGGACCATGTTACGCCCTATAGTTTGTGTTTGCAATCAAAGCACATATTTTTTGTTGGTTATGCCTAATTGAGCCTTGATCTTAGTGGATATAGTAGAAGAAATGGAAACGGAATCTAGCAAAGTCAAAAATGGTCTAAACTTGCAGACTAAGGTCTCAGGTTCAAATTCATATGGCATCTTGGTAGTGTGGATGTGTGAGAACCATCTCTTTTACTTTGGTTTAGACTATCGCTTGTACTAAACAAAACAACAAATGGAAAAGGACATTTTAATTTATTATAGACACGAGATACACATGCTTCTCTTGCATGATGCATTCGAAAACTTAAGTGGGAAAGTACTTACAGATTCATTGCTCAATACATCTGTTACGTCTTCACATTTCCACAATCTACTAAATTTTTTAGGGTGACCGTGGGCCTTTTTACGAATGATCTCTCTTCCCATGTCTCGAAGCAAATCATGCATCATCAGCTTGTTTTGCTCACTAACAGTTACAAGGCACCGTTCGCTGAGGACACTGATTCCTATCACTGCAGAAAATTTACATCCATCTAATATTTGTGTAACATAGTCCTTGTCCATTCCAATAAAGAAACAAGATATATCAAGGAATATCTTTCTCGTTGTATGGTCAGGTAGCCCGTCATAGCTTATTCTGAGTATTTTTTGAATATCTCCATCAGGGCTTCTTTGCAATTTCTCCAAATGGCTTTCCCACTCCGCTATGGATCTTCTAATCAGAAAAGATCCAACAACTCGAAGTGCTAGTGGCAAGCCTTGACAGTAACGAATTACACGTTTTGAGAGGTCAAGGTATTCTTGATTAGGATAACCTCTTTTGAAGGCATGCCAACTAAAGAACTCTAGAGCTTCTTCCTCATCCATTTTTTCAGCGATACATGTGCTATCCACTCCAACTTGCTCTAGCAAATGTTTATTTCTTGTTGTTATAACAATTCTACTTCCAGGGCCAAACCAATCACGAGCTCCAGCAATTGCTTCTAGTTGGTGTAGATCATCTGCATCGTCAATTATGACAAGTGCTCTTTTACAGGGAAGTCTTTTTCTTATCATCTCAATCCCTTTAGGAACAGAGTCAACCTTTTTGGGGCCCTTGCTTTTCAAGATATCATTTAGAAGTTGTTTCTGCAAACGAACCAGACCCATTGGTTGGTTTGCAATTACTTCCCTCACGTTTTCAAGGAAACTCCTACCTTCAAAGCTACCTTCAAATTCGTTATAAATGGCTTTGGCAAGCGTTGTTTTCCCAATGCCGCCCATCCCCCAAATACCGATCATGCGAACAACATCCTTAGAACCTGAATTTTCAATATCTAAGTAATTACTCAAAACCCTCACCCGAGAAGTAATTCCAACAGGGTGTTTGATGTCTAATCGGTATTTGCTGTACAACTGCTTATTAACCACCACCCCAATAATTTTGTTGATAAACTTTGCTTCATGCCTGGCAATTAAACAAAGAAGCAGAACTACGAATCATTCGATGTGGAACAAACTACAAGGTTAAATTGAATCCCTAACTTAATAATTTAGAATTAAGATTGGCATTTAACATCAAATGTTAAATGGATCTTACATTATCAAGTAAGAAAGAATGCTTAGTTCAAAGTAAAAAAGAAAACATAGTTGGAAAAAAAAGAGGGCAGAAAACATATGGTTGTCAAGTAAGGAGATGATAATCCAAGGAACAAGAAATTATTAATTACCCATTGTCAGCATTTTTAAGATCTTCCCCACACAAATTTGCAGCTTGAGTGAGAGCATTTCTCCACCGCTGTACCTTTTCTTTCTCATGTTTACCTTCACAGATGCCCGCTTCATGTTTCTCAAATGCTTGTGCAAAACTACCAGTCTGTTTCCGGACATCTGAAGGATCAACATTATAGAACAATGGAATAACCTTTTGCCCCAATCTCTCTCTACACTCCATGATCTTCACCAGCTCATCAAGACACCAACTGGAATCGGCATACCGCTTTGAGAAGACAATTATCGAGATCATGGACCCGTGGATTGCCTGCTCCAGTTGGTTTTTTATAAATTCCGCTCTTTCTAGCTCGTTGTCGTCAAGAAAGGCGCGGATTCCGGCATCAGATAATGCGGCGTGGAGGTGGCCTGTGAAGCCCTTGCGTGTGTCTTCACCTCTAAAGCTCAAAAACACTTGGTACTTCCAAGTTCTTGAGGAGGGGGCTTCAATGGATGTCCTGTCAGCCATTAATTGGTACTACAGAGAACGCTTGTACTGTGAAGGCTTGAGCTGAAGGAGTTGTTTCGTAGTTATTTTTGCTTGGCAGGGGTCGGTGTGCTGCAGCAGAGATGAATACATTATTGAAAGAAATGCCTATAGTCAAGTCAAGGTCCTTGAACACCTCATTCCAATTAAACACAGAAGCAGAACTACGAATCATTCCATGTGCAACAAACTACAAGATTAAATTGAATCCGTAACTTATTAATTTATAATATTTACTTTTTTCAATACTTTTTTCGTTTGCCCATAACGGCCGTCGAATTGAACCCAAAGAAGAACAAGAACAAGAACAAACCCAATCCCAATGGCAATAGCAATAAGCTATCTCAAATCCAAGACCCATTTGCTCCTCTCTCTCCCAAAATCCAGTGTCCAGTGATGATTTTCTTTCGCCAACTTCTGTTTTTTTTTTTTTTTTTTAACTAGTGATATTAATGGTTAAACCAAGAATCTAAAAATGGTTGATCACGTGTTTATCAACTTAGAATTGATGTAGCACATAATTAGTCCAAGGTAAAGTTTCTAATGTTTTCAGAAAAAACAAAAACAAAAAATAGTTTCCAATATCAGCTAACACGAATTTCAGGCACATCAGAAAAGAAAAAAAAAAATTATTATTTCTATCCTTTGCAAAGGTTTGCAAGTCATCCTTGTAGCAGAAATATAAAAATAAAAACAGATGCACCTTTCCCAGTTCCTCGCTGCGTCCGTTCGCAGAAGTTGAGAGGGGAAGAGAAGGTCTGGGAGGGTAAAGAATGGAGGGAATAGGAGGAGGAGAGGGATGGAAAGTCACTGCACCGAAAAGAGACGATGGTTGAAACTTTTATTTTTTTCTCTAGTTGTGTATATTGGTTTATGGGTTTTAAAATGCAATAAAATATTGCATAACACACCGCATGTATCATGACGAGGACAACTGATCAGATAATAATAGTAATTGGAGTTGGAGCGGCCCATTTATTTTATTAAACCACTTTGTGAGGTTGCTTATTTATAATAATAGTCATTTGGAGTTGGAGTGTCCCATTTTTTAGGGTTAAATATTTTTTTAGGCATTGAGTTTTACAAGAAAATTCAATTTAGTCATCGAGAAAAAATTTAGCCAAATTAGTTATTATATTTCCCAAGTTTACAGTTTATAGACATTTGTTATCTTTCGTTAAATGTAGCTTTTATTTTTATTTTTTCAAGAAGCACTTCGAGTCTTCTTTCTCTAACTACACGTAACGGAAGATAATGGAATATCTTCAAATTGTATACTTTGATAAACACAATGACCAATTTGGCTAAATTTTGTTCTCAATGATGAAGTTGAATTTTCATATAAAATCCATTAATAAAAAATATATTTAACCCATAAGAGCTATTCCAACCATGCAGCCCAGCCCGAGGGGAGGGGGGAAAAAGCCAAAAAAATGGTTCCAGGGGCGAAGCCCAGGGACGGGGGGGGG